GTACATAATTCATAATTGCTGTTTAAGGAAAAAGAAAAGGGCTTTGATGGGTGTACATAAATTTTTGTACATTAAAATATACGTAGAGCAGGCTCCATCCCATATGAGTGTGGGACACTTCGATATAAAAAAAATTATGTACAAGTAATGTTATTCAAAAGAAAAATAAAAAGTTGAGACTAATCAGTAAGCCGTGAAGCCGATTGATACAATAGCTCATGAGCTTTGACAGCTCAATCCACTCATATCGGCGCATCAAGCCGAAGCCGATAAACTCCATCCACAATCAGCTTACAAATAATGGAAACGAAAGGAAAGTGGGACCCACATCAATATTCCTTCATGACTAAGCCTGTCTGGGCCCCACTAATTACGCAAGGCCCATGTACTCTTTGGAAAAGCCAAGCCTACTAGCCCACCACTATTAGTGCGAGCTGACTCAAAAGCCGAATGGGACCCACCAAATTTGCTCCATAAATAGCACCTCTTGCCACTCGTTTCTTCCCTTTACTCCTCCTAACCTCCTCCACCCCCTATAAGCGGTTTTCCGGCCATGTTGTCCACGTTTCCAGCATCAGAATCCTTCTTTGGAAACCCATTCCCCACCTTTGAAAGTGGTTTCACACCTTGGGATTCCCAAGAACCTCCGTCTTTCTTTTCACCGCCGCCGAAGGAACCTGTAAAACCACCACAAGAACCGGTTATTTCCAAACCCGGTTCGGATAACTCGAAACCTCGTAAATCCGGTTCGTTTCGCTCGAAAAACTTAATATCCGGTTCTGGTAAAACTAAACGTTCAGGTGACATAATTGATGACCGAAAGCGGAGGCGAATGATATCGAACCGGGAATCAGCAAGGCGGTCGGTTAGGTTAGTGTACGGTGGTGGTGTGCCATGATTTGTGGTGCGTGATCTGTGACAGTAGATTGGGATCAGGATCAGAGGTTGGAGTGGAGTGTTTGGTGTATATGATCAACTCTTTGGTTAATTTGTGATCAAATATTTGGTTTTTTTGTGATCTACCATTTAATTGTGATCTAAAAAGATTTGTGACTAACTAATTTGAAAATTTGTGGTCGTATAAATTGACCTATAACTTTTTTATTTGTGATCGTGATATAATTTGTGACCAATTAATTTGATAATATATGATCAAGAAATAAGTTTTGACTTATATGTATGTACATTTGATCACTAATTGTATAATTGTGATCTCGATATATTTAATTAATAAAATATTTTTAATTATTTGTTTATCACCAAGTTTTGAATTTTGTAACTTTAAACTTGAAAATTGAATTGGTCTATAATTAATATTTGAGTTGTGAATTTTCCCCCCAAATCTTTTACACGCTAGAGTCCAAATTGACATGTCATTTTATTTTCTTCATATGAAAAATGACTAAGAATATAAAGCTTTTGTGTCAAAAAATATATGCGTCATATATATATTGTTCAACGTGTGGAAAACATTATGGTTCAATTAGGCAAAACCATTCTAATACATTTTTTATAGGAATCATATCCAGAATATATTATATAGGTGTCAGGCTTTGATGATTTGGGTGTACATGTAATGTAGTCCCATGAGGTCGGAGATAAGGATGTTCCAAAAAGTAATGGTAAAAGGCCAAAATAAAACATGGACACCCCCATTGTTCGTTTCCCATTATTTTTAAAATATATTTTTTCTCTCTTCATTTTAATCACACATTTTTTAATAAAATAATATTATACGTAAATTCAATTTTTTTTTAATTTTTAACCATACATTCTTCATCAATTTATTATTTCAAAAATGAATTATACACAAAAAATGGGAATAAAATTGAATATGGTGATCATGTGACTAAAACAATATCTAGTATTGTCGGCCTCATGCTAACCATTTTCAACCTAACAATAAAGCTGTGCATTTGCTTTCTTCTTAGTTAAGTTCAAATGTGCATCCCTTCTCACTTCATCTAGAATAAACGAAACACGTGTAATATGAATTTAAGTGCCTGTTTGGTTTGAATTAAAATCCGACTTTAATTTAAGTAAAAAAAATCTAACAATTGATATTAATAATACCATGGGTCCAACAATTTTTCAATCGCACATTTTTAAAACTTCTATTACAATCTACTAACTAAAAAATCTAATTTAAGATAAGACTTAGCACGATTTTTCGTTGGACTAGGTGAGTTATCGTGCCCAAATGATTTTCTTAAATTTTATGATTACTTGTCAAAAGAAAAAAACAAAAGAATAAAGATGGGATGATGACTCTTCGCATTTGCGAAGTCCAAAAGGATCTTTATCTAACCCAATAGCTCTCAAAAAACTGTAAATAACCAAAAGTGCTTTTTTTTAAATTAATGTCCACATGGAGCGATTTGTTTAGGTCACAAAAACACCCATCACTTCGTGCTTCTACCATAACTCTACAGATAAATTAGGGTTAAATTCTCGATCTTTCTGGTTGTGAATTTTTTTTTTTAACATGAAACTGATAAATAGAAAAATTCCATATAAAAATTCTCATGAGACGTGGATTGAAGATAAATTTGAGAAAAAATAAAAACTTAATAAAAGTACATAATTCATAATTGCTGTTTAAGGAAAAAGAAAAGGGCTTTGATGGGTGTACATAAATTTTTGTACATTAAAATATACGTAGAGCAGGCTCCATCCCAT